ATGATGAACGATTGTTCAGAATGCTATTACTTACTGTGTTTACATGATTGGTGCCCTCGATCATGAAAATGACAAAATGTCAGACCATCTGCATTTTAACTGGATGAGTTCAGAATCGTAAATGTCATGTCATGTTTAAATTAATATTTAGTTTCATGCTCATTTATTTATTTATCGTGGTAAATCAGAAGCAAATAGTCCAAAAGCATTTTTAGGACTTAAGCTTGAAGCGGCTCAGTTCATCTTGAGCAGTTTCGGCAACTGTTGTACGATGCTCAACGCCAGCGCTTCCCGATATGCTGCGCTTTACAGCATCGAGCTGGACGAAAAGCTGGACGTATCCGGGATATTTGTGCAGGTGATTTAATACATTAATCGCACAGGCTTAATGTAACATTTAGACGTTTCTACTGGAACACACCCGCGTCACGAAACGCTTTTTCGGCGAAACGAACTTCTTTGTCTTTTACTTCATGTGGGAGGGAAAAGATTCAGATTTGAGGTACGTCCATGAGTCAAGCAGGTCAGTTCATACAATGCATAAAAAGGGCCATTGGATCTCCAATTTTCAATATTACAGCGCTTACCGATGAAAAGGAAAGTTAATTTTTTTTGCTTTTCTGTTATGCTGTTTGCGCTTTGGTACCTCAGAAACGCAGCATAGGAGGAGTTGTTACTATTTTTCCTGCTCCTGTCGATATCCTTAACGTATCATGTTTCTTTAAGCTGCTGGTTCGCCTAAATAGTATCGTTTCCGAACAAAGCAGAGACCGTTAAAAGCAAATCAATGAACTCCCTCCTCCACTGTTATTATCTGTAGTGTCTGGCACTGTTAATGCCAGATACATTCTGGTCAGATATGCGGTGGTTTTTCAGAGCGGTAGAAGCATCGACCTATCGACCTTTCCGATCACGGTTCAACGACTCATCGAGCGTAAACCGTTGATGCTGTGCGGTAGGTATGTTTCGCTCTGAAGGGAGCTATGGCATATTTGGTGCGTGCTTCTCTTATTTTTGCTGTTGAATCATTAAAACGGCTGAATGCTCAGCATGTCCTCTCTTGGACGCTATCAAATACACATGAACAGCTGCTTCTTTCTCCCGCAAAATCAGAGTAGTAGAATGGGGCCTCTGTATTTTTCATTCCAATCGCATCCGGATATGTATGAAATGGCCTGCAATGATACTGAGAGACTTCATGTAACAGAGGAGCAAGATAAAGTATCTGACAGAGAACCGTTGAGTTCGTTCCCGTGAGCAGTTGAAGGTTTCCTTAAAGCACGGTTAATTTATCTTAGACAGCGGTCACAGAATGCATGCAAAGAAGAATTGTTAGGAGCATGATGCTTTGATCAATGTAGACAGCGAGATTTACAGCAGGTGATTTCTGGTTACATATTAGGCTTCCTGTTGTTTTGTGATGTGAAGTTAAATTCGACAGCATAGAATGGTAGAAAACATAACCACGATATTCTGGGGTTTACTCCGCTAGAAGACTCCGATACCGCCGTCGATATGCATCCTGTCCACTGCAGCCGTATAAATAGCATGGAGCCGTCGCCTGTTTAAATGGTCCCCATAGGCACCTGGAAGCAAGGGAACCGTGCATTGATGAGGTACTAGCAGGTGTGAGATTTCCATTTGTCTTGCACTACCGCAGTATCGGTGTAAAATAAGAAACGTATTTTTCTTTCTTTACATTGTACGATTTCGCCGTTAAAATCTAAGATCATAATTTATTATTATAAAGAATGGTAGACTTAATTATTCCTTACTGAAGTAAAGTTATTCATCAGCTTCATTAGTTAGGAGCATCACTTCACTGTTATAGAGTATTCGCACTATTACTGTCATGTTCTGGGGACAGAGGAATACATCTTTAATGACAAGTCAAGCTTGTTTGTGATCATGCAGCGAGATTCAGCCTTATTCGTATAGTCTCGTAGGTAATCATAGCAGTTGCAGTTCATGCAGGCGATTAGTTGCTGAGGGAGAACAGTTGATCAGACTGGGTTATCGTGGTATGTAAGCATC